TTAAATGCACCTCTACTGTTCAACCTGTTTCTGTTCGACATAAATTCTGCTATTTTCTTTAAAAGCAAAAGATTGGCCCTTTTCAAGAGCATACCAACCTTTATAATTTTCATTGTTGTCTGTGTCCGCAAAACAGGGTAACTTAATCTATAGGAGGTTCTAAATTCTTTTTCTTTTCTTTGACAAAAAATTTCAAATATAAGTCACTTTGTAAAGCATTTACCATTCTTGTTCCTATAGGTTTAAACAAAAGCCACCATGGCCATGGTTAGCGATAACCACTTCAATTGGTATCCTTGTGATAGCATTACTTGTTGGGCACATATTCTATGCAACTGTTAATCGGATTGCGAAGGTGGAAGATGATTGCCATAAGATGATGGAGCTCACAAAACAGGCTGAGGCAGCTGATGTGGCCAAATCTCAGGTATATGACATATATGATTTATGCTCTGTGCATTCAGACCTTTTACGAACATTTGGTCCTCTAATTAACTTTGATTGTTTTTCCAGTTCCTTGCTACTGTTTCCCATGAGATTAGAACCCCGATGAATGGTGTTCTGGGTGAGTCTTAAAGCTTCCATTTATTTCTCTGAAGTTCATTTATATAGGCATTGTATAACATGCTCAGAAAAATAAATGAAATAATTAGTAGAGACCAGAGACCAGAGTTTACTTAGCCATGACAGTGTATTTTATTTTAACAGGAATGTTGCATATGCTTATGGACACGGATTTAGATGTTAGACAACTAGATTATGTCAGAACTGCACAAGCTAGTGGAAAGGCTCTGGTTACACTTATAAATGAAGTTTTGGATCAGGCTAAGATCGAATCTGGTAACCTAGAGCTCGAAGAAGTGCAGTTTGATCTACGAGAAGTCTTGGATGTGTTATCGCTATTTTCGGGGAAATCTCAGGACAAAGGAGTCGAGGTGAGATGCTTGTATCTTTCTGGCTCATCATCTTACTCACACTCCCTTCTCTCCTCTCTTTTCCATTTTCTTCACTCTTTGTGCTGTATTCATCTGAGAGTCTAACATGTATTTATTTTGCATAATCAATTTGTGGATGAGAGCAGTTGGCTGTTTACATTTCTGATCGAGTTCCTGAGATGCTAATTGGTGATCCTGGGAGATTCAGACAAATAATCACCAATCTAATGGGAAACTCGATTAAAGTATGTGATTGGTTTTCCATTTAATTATATAAAGCTTGTTGGGACTTAAGAAAGCTTTCCTAAATCAGTTAATTCCGTCTTGTGGATGTTTCACTTTAAGTTTGGTTGTCTGGATTGCGCTTTAGTTGCTTGAACTCGTTCACTTATTTGTGCAGTTCACTGAGAAAGGGCACATCCATGTGACGGTTCATCTCGTGGAGGAGGTAATTGATTCAATAGAAGTTGAGACAGAATCTTCTCCAAAGAATACCTTGAGTGGTTTCCCAGTTGCGGATAGATGCCAGAGTTGGATAGGATTAGAACTTTCAGTCAAGAAGAATCCATTGAGCCTCTCTCGGACAGCATTCGTCTTATCGTATCAGTTGAAGATACAGGAGAAGGAATCCCCATACAAGCTCAGTCTCGAGTTTTCACACCTTTTATGCAAGTTGGCCCTTCTATTTTCGAACACATGGGGGCACGGGCATTGGACTAAGCATAAGCAAGTGTTTGGTTAATCTAATGAAAGGAGAAATCGGTTTTGTTAGTATTCCTAAGATTGGTTCCACCTTTACATTACTGCTGTTCTCACTAGCAGTTCCTCTAGTTCAAAGGAGTACAAGAACCAGCAAATCAACAACCAGACCAACTCAGTATCCTCAGAGTTTCGTGGGATGAGAGCATTAGTTGTGGATCCTAGACCTGTCCGGGCGAAAGTGTCGAGATATCATCTCCAACGGCTGGGAATTCATGTTGAAGTAGTTTCCAATTGGAAACAAGGTTTATCTATTATAAGCCAGGGGAGTAATGTTATACACATGGTGCTTATCGAACAAGAGGTTTGGGATCAAGACCTAAACAGTTCGTCTTTCTTCATCAATAACTTGGAGAAAATAGATAATAGTACTCCTCCGAAGGTATTCCTTTTATCTAATTCTATCTGCTCTTCCCGAGCAAATCCTACTACTTCTGGTCATAACTTGACCGTCATCCCGAAGCCCTTGAGGGCTAGCATGTTAGCGGCATCTCTACAACGAGCCATGGATGATGGGAACAAAGGGACTCCTCGTAATGGGGAATTACCTAGTCTATCTCTTAGGAATCTTCTTCTCGGTAGAAAAATTCTAATTGTAGATGACAACAATGTGAACCTAAAAGTAGCAGCCGGTGCCTTGAAAAAAATACGGAGCTGATGTGGTTTGTGCTTCAAGCGGAATGCAAGCTATTGAAATGCTTACACCACCTCACCAGTTCGATGCTTGTTTCATGGATATTCAAATGCCTGAAATGGATGGGTACGTAATCCCCTGATTGCATTTGGAACGATCTTATGCAACTGAAATGAGCTTTAAAGACTTGCAAAATAAGAGAAAAATAATATTTTCTTGTTGGTTTAATTCGCATTGATGTTGCCTTTCATGATGTCTTCGCATTTTACAGGTTTGAAGCTACAAAGAGAATTCGGGATTCAGAACAGAATATCAAATAATCGTATCCGCTCTGGAGAACTATCTGTCCAAACTTATAATAATGTTTTGAACTGGCATGTACCAATTTTGGCTATGACCGCAGATGTTATCCGGGCCACGCATGAGGAATGCCTACGGTGCGAAATGGACGGATATGTGTCGAAACCATTCGAAGCTGAGCAATTATACCAGGAAGTTTCACGATTTTTCCATTAGGCATCAGATCAGTATCCATTGGAAAGGACTTCTGCATGCCAATGTCATTGATACGACTGCCTCTTCTTTGGCATGCTTTGAGACACTTCCATTTTCTACCAAGAGTGAGTTACCTTTCGACGTCGGTTTCCTTCATAAAATCAAGCATCAAGTTTGTGTTTTTTGATCAATCTTTTGACATCTTGCCATGAATGATGTTCTTTTTCACAGGGGAACATTTTCTGTAGCAAAGTGTTTGATGCGAGGATAGTCGGACTGTGCCAGTGTATAAAGCTATGCTCGGATATCATATTTTCTTGTATTTACGGTGCAAATAGCAAAGCTTCGTCGATCTTTTACCGCCGGTAAAGTTGGCCTTTCAGCAGGGTTGGTAATTGAGATTTCTGTGCAGTAAAATCTCTTTGATTTAACTTAGGGTAGAAAACAAAATCCCCACATGGACATGTATGGAAGAAAATCATATACCTTTCGAGTGTGTCTGTACAATACACATTGCTCGCGTCTTCAGCAGAAGGACATTGAAGGTCATTGAAGCGGATTAATCAACTTAAGAATTAGTCACTCACATATATTGAGATTTGATTAAGATATTGTTTCATGAGTCTTAAATATTTAAAAGTTAAAACGGTCACTAGTTTATAGGATATTATTTTTATATGGTTATGGTGAAGTATAAATAGTCATGATTATATGTATTGTTTTATCGAGTCTTTAGACTATTAAAAGTTAAAATAGATTACTAGACTATAAGACATTTATTCTAAGTCCCTTAATTATTAAAAGTACAAAATGATCTCATCTTTGTTCTGATAAAGAATTGATAATTTGAGTCGATATTAACATGTTGACTAAAATAAATATAATTTAAAAATTATTAAACTAATTTATTCTTTTAATGGAAAAGAACAAGTATGAATATATAAATATTGATCATTTCTTAATTTTAATAATATGTGAATTTAAAAAAGTAACATTCTATAGTTAGGTTATTTTGTAACTTTTTAATAGTCGGACAACTCAATAAATAATATTCTATAGTCGATGAACTATTTATGCACTGTAGTCTTAATTATACATATAATCAAGATCTAAGAACAAGTTTCATCCGGAGCACCTGTTAAGTGTTTCATCTTTGAGATAAAAACTAATACCCTTTACGCTGTCCATATTCATAACCGCCAAGCATCCATAATGTAGATAAGTAATAGGTAAGCATTTGAGAGTTGCGTATTGTAAATGGAACAGCAACGGCAAAGCCCTCTTTATTTGACCTGTCCTTTGGGCATTGTCAAATGCCATGTTTGGGTAAGCATTATCCATGCTGATTAACTGCCATTTGTGCAATACAAATCCAATATAGAAACCAAAATGGGAATCAGCCTACACTCCCGTGGTTCTTTTCCTGGTAAATAAGAATACAATACATGGATAAGGTGAAAAATACTTTACAAAGTCACTACTTCAGCTAAACAATATTCACATAATTCAGCTAACATCCCAAGGCAAGTGTCATCTACACTTCCCGGTATCAGTACCCGAATAAGCCTCCCTCTATATGGCATCACTCGCAAGAACCCGAAAGCTCTGTTCGATTCTTAATCTATCAAAGGCGCCCCCAACTGCTTCGCCAAATCAACCGTTTCCTCTTCACAAAAATCTACCATGCTGTAATCGAAGAATCGTTTTGGTTCGAAACGAAAACGTGCATCAGCAATCTAGCAAATGTTACATACATTCAATGCAAAACGTAACCAATAACAAAGCAATACCAAGAGATGATATATCAGACACAAAATTAAGCTATGGTGCAAAATATTGTCAAGAATTTGATATCATAATGAACCCCGGCTACAAGTTAGACTTATTCAACCACAAGCTCAATGCAGCCAGTCTGCTTCAAGTTTGATAAACATAAAACGCCATCATCGTCATCTAATGCTAAATCTCAGCTGAAAGTATAACAGATCATATGCATTGACAAGTTGGGGAAAATGAGATTCAATCCACAACAATCTATTAGTACTCTGATAAACAGTATACACATTTTTCATTCGGCACTCAATCAACCTCACAGTTCCTATAGTATATTGACACTACTATCATGGAATTGAAGAAATCAAACTATATAATCTAGAACAGAATATGATTTTTCCTCCCTAGTTATCAAATCCCAATGAAGAACAAAAAAAGCAATTATCAGGAATATGTTTTCGAGGCGAAGGAGGAGCCAAGGCATTGCAAATAATAGAACGACCCAACAGGGAAATGGCGGAAACAATCCCAGCAACGTAAAACACCATTAACAAACCAATAACCCAAGGCATCAACATGAACCCTATAAAGAAAGTGACCGATCCACACAGCATCATCGAAACCGATATGCCCAGCATCAGCCAAGCGAATCCCGCTGGAGATATCGTCGATGCATCTAGGAGATTAGATCTTCTCTCCGACACCGAAGCTTGATCGGTGAAAGGAACCGGCGGCGAGCGTAGAATATTCATAACCAAAGCCGACAGCTCGTAGAATACCCTGGATTGCGGATCCTGATGTCGATGGCTTTCCTGTCTCTTCTCATCATCTTTTTTTTCCCTCAATCCAATAAAAAAAATCAAAGATGAACTTTTTTCTAAACCCTTTTATCAGGAGATAAAAGTAGTAAAAGAGATTTTGAGATACTACGATATTTTCTTTCTTTTCTAAGAAAGAGGCAAAGGATCAACTCAGGGACAGAGACAGATATGTAAACCACTGTTTGATTGGAGAGGAATTAACAACCGGAGAGTATGATAGCCATTGTTTCTCGGGAAATTATGGAATGCTACGAAAACCTAATATACGTTCGGTAATTAGAATCGGTAAAAATAATAATATTTTTATTTATTTTTATTGATTTTATTATTTAAAATAATAAAATTGGTAACATATTTTTTAGACGTATTAAGCTGTCGTATCGTAAAAATAATGTTTTAAGGGGCACAATTTCCAAAGTCCACATTATCTAAACATTTTAAAAATATATATTTAAAAAAATAAAATAAAACTATAAGACTAATATCATAATTTAATACATATTAGCTTCATGGGTTGAAGAGCTTAATGTACTTGGCTTATATAGATATATTGGAGTGTTATATTATGTTTCTTGACAATGTGGATAAAAGCTAAAAGATGTATTCCTTAATTTTTTTATCTTTATATCTAATTAATCTACTTATACACTACTGTTAAATTATATTAGGTTATATTATTATTAAGTTTTAGATTAATTAAGATTAGATATTTTTTATATGTTATATATCTAAATAATTACATTATGTTAATATTTATTATTAAGGTTATATTAATTAAATTTTGAAGATGATATATCAAAGGGGAAACGGTAAACTCATGTAAGATCAAATATAAGATTAACTATATTCGGCGACTCAAACGTCTTAAAATATTGTATGTTCTTTTGTTTTAAATCTAGATTATGAATAATGAGTAATTTCATGTAATTTATTTAATTATATATTTTTTGTTGTAGTAATTTGAGATGGAATAATCAACAAGATGTTATTCCTTTTGAAATTGACGAGCTTAAGAGTAACACATCTGTAAAAGCACATGGAAGTATTTTTTTCACGTTATGATAATCAAGATTGTTGCTTTCTACTAACCAAAAATTGATTAGGTATCTGAGCTTTAACAATTTTAAAGCGGAGATGTCGAATGAGTTAACAATAGTGTATAAGTAGATTCATTAGATATAGAGATAAACACTTTAATATGTCTATATAAGCTAACCCCATTAAACTCTTCAACTTATAGAATTAATATGTATTAAATTATGATGCTAGTACATATAGTTTATTTTTTTAAATTTTTTAAAGTGTTTCGAGGATGATGAGGACCTTAGAAGGCATGTCCCTATAATTATGGAATCCACGTTTCGTCGCCATGACCCCAGGCCTCAATTGCATACGCATATGACACCTTCTGCGTCAATGATGGAAGACTTGCTACATTCTTCGGGTTGATGGAAAGTACTAATCGGCTGCTTCGAGCTAGCATAAGAATACGTCGACACCACCCTAAGAATCGATGAATCGATCGGTGATGGTCGTGTCAAGCAGGGAACCACGCCGGTGGGCCTTGGCTTGGTAAATAGAGAAAGACTTGGCTAACTTGCCTCTCAAGAAACCCTTCTTTTGAGCTGCCTCCATTTGTGAACTGTTTTAGTCGACGATGAAACTTAGAACAGAAGATGGTTTTGGTTGGTTTTTTGTCGAGCAAACTCTGAGGTACATAGAGAGAGAACAATAATTACTTGATTCTAATAAAATATATTATCTGAAATGGCAAATCAATCACTTTCCAAACACGTAATTGATGCAACAAATTCCCAGAAGAATCTTGTTACAGTGATGGAAATGAAGGAATAACACACCTGAACACGTGGTAGAATGTGCTTTAGGATTTTGGATAAACATGAACCCCTCAGGCTAACCCAAGCCGTCCATAAGCTTAAAAGAAAGGATTAATGGCGGTCCCATACAGAGTAGGTACTGGATATATTCCCTCTAGCTTTTCCATGATCTTAAAACTTTATAAGATCGTTTGTCCTTAAAATATTTTAAGTTTACCGCTCTAATATAAAATCGTGTGTCGGAATATTTGCATGATCTTTGATGAGATTGCATGTTAAAGAACTTAAGTATCAAATGCCATGGGGCAACTACAACTGCAGAAGCAAATATATTTTTGTCTCAGAGATTCACACATTATTCCCCACTCATTCAAACAAAAGTTCATTAAATATTCTAAAACCAAAACACACTAATAAGGTCATACTCAAAACCATCTGATTTTAAGGTAGATTAGAAATGGCTGATATTTTTACTCCCATGAGAAGGAGAGTGTATGGTGAGCACCAGTTGCAGATGACCCTGGATGTTCATTTTGGAACATTTCATGGCCATGGAGATTTGTGTTACTGCCACCGTCAGCGGCCAAAACAGCAGTTCCGACTTGCTCACCTCCTATTCCTCCTAAATCATTATAATGCAAGTTTGGGATCGATGATGAAGCCGAGCCATGTTGCACTATGGGCTCAGACCAATCTCCCGAGCCTCAGCCGGTTGGGATGACAGAAGAGAGAGCACAATTTGTGTCAATAGTTTGATTTATCTTGTTCGGGAACATTTTCCGGCTGCTGCCACAATTGCTTGACGAAGGAATCACATCGAGAAACGCTTGACAAACTGGAACACTTCCGGGGAGTGATGAACTAGTAGTTTGCAAGAATGAGAACTGCTTTTCTCCTTTGTAGTTATCAGATGAGACTCCAGGGAACAAGCTTGTTCTGCCGCTGAAGTTTATCAAGTTCATATCAGTTTCCAATTTCAGGGTTCCCATCCAAGAAGACGTTATGGCAGACGTCGAAAATATTTGCGGGCCGCCGATCGGAAAGTATTGAGTACCTGCAGCAGAGTCTCCATTGATATCAAACATTCGGAAATTGAGGGTGAAACAAGCTTTTGCATAAAAACATTTAAGAAAAAACCAGTTCAACCTTGGTGACTGGATAGAAACCTCCCTGAATTCGCAGACAGAGAATCCGGTTGGGGCTTTCTTCGTCGTCGGTTATGCCCGTCGAGACGTTTCCTACAGCTTCGTTTCACCTCATCAAACTCCACCAACGAATGAAACCTAATAATTGCATTCACCATAAACTAAGTTCCTATATTCATCAATGAAACATACAATCTTGTAAGGTGCAAATCACAGAAGAGTATTAGCATCCAAATCTGTACATGTCCGGATATGAACCAGACATGAAGAACTAGTACTTTCACGATGAAAACATATCAGATTCAGACACACAACACTTCAAAAACAGAGCTCATAAACCTTAAATCGCTACATAATTTGCAGCAGATCCATTTACCTGCTACACTGCTGGCAAAACCGTTGTTGTTGACCCCTAATTGAAACTTTTGGGGTCTTGGAGTGAACTTCACATACTTTATGGCGTCGATGGTAGTCCCTGCATTTGCTGAGGTCTGCAGTGCAGCCATCGACCAAGCACGACGGCGCTTGGCTTCCGCTGCCAGGCGCCCGAGCCCTTTTAAACGATGCGTCAGCCGCCGAGGATTCCATATAAGGAAGTCCAGAAAGTACCCTCCAACACTCTAAAAGAACACCAAGCCAAACCTGATTCACCTACTGAACTACTGGATTTAACAGCTTTAATTCTTCATAATCAAACATCTGTCATGTTAATCAAATCTTTATGCCCCACTCAAATCAAACACTTGATCAAATCATCAAAGGGTTCTTCATAATCACAAAAGGTGAAAATTTTGTATCTAGTTCAAGATTATGATTATTTGTTTTTTTGGTCACAAGTCAACAAACTTATCTTTGTTAAATGTCTCAAAGAATCATGACCAAGAAACATCCATTTTCGAATGGAAGAAACCAAATGAGACTTTTCTTCCGATGGTCCCAAGCTCAAGCAACAAAGATGGAGCAACAAGTGAAAAAGAAGAGAATGAGATGCTCAACTCTAAAAAGGAAATGGTGGGGAATGGGGGGAAGAGCCTTAATGGGACATTAAACTCCCAGTAATAATAAAGTTTCAACTTTTAATGTAGCTATAAAACCTGTCAACATCATTGGAGTCGACACTCTTATCCCAACCACAAATAGCATGGAGGATATTTTTGGAAATAAGGAAGCCTTTACACCACAGAAAAGAAATTATTACTACTATTTTTCAAATAAAACTCCACTCAAAATCCCAATCGTTGAGTGCTTAATTAGCTTTGAAGTACAAGGAGAGCCACTATGATCAGCAACGAGAAGAAAGCCAAAAACCCTACTTTTATAACCATAATTTATATTCTTGCTAGCTTGATCTTAGAAAAAAAGGGGTAAGAAATTGGAAGAAAAGGGTACCTGAGAAAATCCCAGAAATCTGACAGAGAGGGAAGAATCATATGTGGGTAAGCTGTGGACTGTCACCAGTCTTCAGATAAACCGTCAAAGGGGGGAAAAAAGAGGAAAAGTTGGAAGTGAAAATGGAAAAAACTGGGGAACCGTGGAGCTTAAAGTTTACTGATTGAAGCAAGTAAACGCGAAAGTGAAGTTAAAAAGAGGGCTTCACTTAGTAGGCTGCCAGTGATAGTCTGACAACAGTTGCATCCCCATGGGAAGAGCAAAAAACCAGAAGCAAAGAGGAAGAGACTGAGCAAAAGGATAATCCAAATGGAATTATTTGAAGAGAGAGCGGATAATGTGAGCTTTGAAAGTACTGAATGGGGAGAGAGTAATATGAATGAAGAAAATGGTGAAAAAGATAAAAAAAAAAAGTGGGGTTCACTGCTGAGCTTCCTTTTTCAGGCTAAGAGCCTCGAAATTGCTTTGGTTTTGAAAAATGAAATAATGGAGAGTTGAAGATTTAGGGTAAAAAGCAAAAGAACGAGTGGCAGGGAAAGGTACAGCGTAGTTGCTTTCCAGCTTTTTAAATTGCGAAAAGAAAAGAAGAAGTACAACGACAAGGGATGGAAACAAGGATGGCGCTGCTATAAAACTAGCTCTATTGTTTTTTTTTTTTTCCGGATTTTTTTCTCTTTTAGATTTAATAATTATCGTTCATTTTATTTTTTAAAATAATAAATTTTGGATACAAAATAGGAATGGGAGTATAAATAAGTGAATAAATTTGTGTGAATAAAAAATTACACAAGTTACAGTAAAATTAAATTGAATAAAATACATAATTGATGGACTAAATCAAGAACCGAATAAATTTCTTCTTAAAATAAAAGAGATATATTTATAGAGACAGAAAAATATTTGATTTAATTTGATAAAAATAGATTTAAAATAGATAAATAATTAGAAGTACGTATTTAGTTATATCGAATTAATGAAGTTGATGTGTCGTACTTTATCATTCAAACTTCATTTGATTTCTTTAAATTAATTTTTACTCACTATAATTATTTTCAACAATAATATAATTGTAATGTTTAAATTTACTTTTTTTATATTATTTTAATATTGCACGTGATATTTGTTAGTTGTATATAAGGAACCTCCACCTGAGATCCGACCCGAACCAAATCCATATATAACTTAGAAACTCGACCCGACATAAAATAATAAAAAATATTATTTTTATTCAATAAAAACAATAACTTATTGAAAAATATATATATAGAGGGGTATTATTGTAATTATTCCTAAATATAAGATAAAATTATATATTTTTTCGGGTCGGGTATTTTTCACCCTAAACCCGACCCGAAAATCACACTTAAAAAAACCGAACCTATCCCTAGTTGTATACGTGTATTTTTACCTATCACTTAGATCAAGTAGAAAATCAAATAAATTTTTATTTGGGTACCAAATGTTTAACTTTATACGTAATTTTTTTTTCTTCATTTTCTTTGTTTTTTTTATTTGGATATAGATAAACATTCTCTCCATTTTTATTTCTTTATTTTCACGTACTTTTAAAGTGTTTATTTATATTTGTCTATGGAACAACGGTTTGTTTGTTTTTATAGCACAATTTAATCTATCGTTCTGATAGTTTAGCGTTTCATGTTACATTCATTACACACCTCCTGATCATAAAATATTGACAAACTCGTGTAGTAAATCTCTTTCTGCATACGTTCATCGATACGTTCAAAACTGATCATCGAATAATGTGTTAGGTTGGTTCTCTCAATCTTCATATCTACATTAATACTATGTCTAAGTTTAAATAAAGACAAAAAGATCCATTCTTCTGATGGCAAACGATTATATGAATCTACCTTTTTTTTAATGCTACATATGATATTATCATAACACCACACTTGGTTTCACTGTCATGAGTACTTAAAAAGGAATATTCCAAATTAAAGTCCCAATTCTCCTAAAAATTAATATTTCCTTAATTAACATTCATGATTGTCATTAAGAGATTTAATTATGTGTTACATCCATATACGTTGTCACATGGGTTCTTTGTCTAGAAATGTGGCATGCACCAAACCGTCCAAAGAGAAGTGTTGTTGAATAACTTTAAGAGGGGAGGGGTCATCTCTATTATCCTAATAAAAATAATAATACATTAAATTATAATTTAATTAATATTATTATTTTTTATTATCATGGGACAAGTACAATACATTATTTGTTCAGATATAACTCTCAACCTTTTTATATTAAAAGCTCACACCCTTGGCATTAGGCCTGTAAACAATCAAACGAACATGAATGAGGGTACGCTCTTGTTCGTTAGTTTAACTTTAACCGAACGAACACGAACAACTAAATGAACCAAATTTTGGGTTCGTGTTCGTTCATTAAAAATGTAGCTTGTTTGTATCGTTCATCTAAATGATAAACGAACACAAATGAACGAACGTAAACGAACGAACATAAAATTAATTGAATTTATATATGAGAATAGTTTTTTCTTTTCAAATAACTATATGATTTATGTTTTCTTTAATTGATTTGAGTACCTTTTATTTGGATTTAAAATTAATGTAGTTTAAAAATATTAATTGGTTTAAGGTTAAAATTTATTAAGTCTTTATATTTCAAACGAGTCTAGAGAACATAAACGAACAGATTATCGAACGTAAATGAACGAACGAGTCTTTTATTCGTGTTCATTCGTTGAATTAAATGAACATAAAATAATGTTCATGTTTGTTCGTTTAATAAATAAACGAATTTCCCGCTGAATGTTCGGCTCGTTTATAGGCCTGCATGACATCTATGATATTCAAACTTGGGGTCTCAATAAATGAAAACAATTCTTTTACCACGGAGATCAATCGGTTAGTATAATTAATATTATTTATCTAGATAAAATGAAAATAAAAAATAAATAAATAAAAGAAGGGAAATCAAGAGATAATTTATACAAGTTGACAAGACCACGTTAATCTAACTCGTTGTTTTAATATTGGTTTTGCCACTATTAACATGCAGGAAAAATCAAACAAAAACTTAGTTCTTTGTCGTATAAGACACGTGCGTACAAATGATTGCAGACTCCATAGTGCTCACTTCATCCTAGAAAATTCTACCCCAAATACTTCTTTTTAACTACTCAATTAGTTTTTTTTTTATATAGGCGTGTTCCCGATATAATATTTTATAAAAAGACATACTTGATACATTATTGTTTTCTATAATATTTTTAAAATTACTATTTATCAATTTTAAATTTTACCTTAGTAATTAATTTTATTGTAAATTAGGAATTTAAATCAAATTCAAAGCTACATTATCCAAAAGTTTTATTTAGGCTTAATGTAAAAATAAGTATCTAAATTATATTTACAGTTGATTTTTGGTAATTAAAGAATTTTTCATTAAAAATATGTGCATAATGTTTTCTCCGTTTTACTTCTAGATGTCTACCGTTAAAAAATTCGTTAAGTGACACATGTCCCGTTTAATTATTGTTTAAAAATATTTTATTCCTAAAAAATCAAAGAATATAAACTCGACACATATCACTTAATGATATTTTAATAATATGCCGTCTAAAAGTGTGACGGACAAAACATTAATCGTTTATTTTTAAGAAAATAAATATATATTTATCTTTTAAAGACTTATTGTATTTAAAACTTATGAACTCGACCTTTTATCCTGCAGTTTTGGTTTTGGGACCGAATGTCCCAACACCACACAGAAAACAAAACAAACAAAGAGGTCTGAACACAAGGCATTGCCATTAATGCGTATAATCCAGCCATAAGCCCATAAGGCAGTACTGCCTTGTGTTTTGTCCGATTCCTCGAGTTACATCCTCCTTTGGCATCATCATTTTGTTCTTTTCAACTTGCATTCATCGGTAAAAAAATAGTAGATAGTTCTGTTATACATAACGACAACTTAATTTAAGATTAAAAAATAATAAAAAATTAACACGATCGAAAATATTATCAAAATCATGATATTTTCGACTGGGCGCAACTTAAAATATTAAGCATAAAGTAATATTTTCAATTCTCAACCAAAAATATTATAAAAAGAATTTCAACTAAAAAATATTAAAAAAATTAATATTTTAGATTATATAATATATTATAATTTTTATAACATTTTCGATCAATTCATTCTTTGTGTTTAAATCAAGATAATTTGGTAATTTTGGGTTGGCATTTTCACTCTTTAACCTTGACTTTACCAACAATTAACCTCGGCTTGTCCCTTTCTGTAATAATCAAGCAAAAGCAGGCTTTCACCTATTAACATTGACTTTTCATCAGTGAGCTTTAATCACCTCAGGTTTCATTGTCGGTCCACGCGAAAGACATTTCAATCTTACAATGAAAAAGCTTGTGACAATCGACAGTTTTTTTTATTAAGTTGTCATTATGAATTAATATCAAGTTACAAATATTTTTAATTATTTAACAATTAATGATCAATTATTTTTTAATTATTAGCAACAAAACTATTTATCTTGAAATTTAAATTTTTTAATTAATTGTCTATTTTACTATAGATACTCACCCCATACAAAAAAAATTCAATAATTAATATGTGTGCATACTCTAAAAATAATTTTAAATCCATCACTAATGATTACTTTCAAACTTTAAATTTTTAAAAATAATTATTATTTTTTTAACCACGAAAAAATAATGACGGTCTCAAGTTTATTTTATTTAATTCAGACATAAAATTACTGTAGATGGCTCTGTAAATTAGGTAAAAAGTACATGTTACCGTGGCCAATGCAATGTTTTACCAAAATTGTCCTGGCATCCAAATGGAAAGAGAGTCCTTATCTCAACTGGATTTCACAAGAAAATGGACAAAATCATCTCTAGTAGAGCCAAGTTTTGCCAAGAAAAAATAAGGCAACTTTGGGACCCTACTTCATCGATGACAATACTTCTTATTTCTTTTGTCTTATGAAATTTAAGAAATATCTTATAATAAATAATATATATTAAATCTGAAAAATTTATAAAATTTGATAAAAAGAGCTCAAAACATGTGGGGATTTGTAGAGAACACCAAAAAGGAATCAATAGGGGAGCAACGAATAAAATAAAAAGGATTTACGGATTATTAAGTATATTATCCCAGTATAATTAAAATATTATATAATTTACCACCCAATTCTATCTTCTACTCAAACTAGCCCCCTGCTCTTCCAAACTATCTTACCAATCATATATAAACTTAATTCCTAATCAAAAATATATTGGACGAAATTAAATTTTCAAATTGTCATATCAATCATCCACTCAATGCTCAAAAGAGAAGCAATTTTATAAACATTCTTTTTCCTACCATGAAAACGACAGCTCGACGGAAAGTACATTAATGCGGAGGACCACCGCCGGCCACCCCTATATTCCGGCACCGATGTATCTTTCCACCACCCACACAAAATGTTTTTTAATGATAAAAGTTTCCTCGTTTTCAAGGTATCGAATTTCGCTAAAGCAAAAAAATGTACACATTTGGATTCCAAAGACCCCATAAACGAGAATTTAGTAGCCCTAACACGTCCGGTAACACCTTCCGTGCCAAACCCTTGTGGTTACTCGTCGCCGCCGTTGTCACCGCCGCCTCAGATGTTCCCATCGTCTGTATGTCTTCATCGGAATCTGCTACCGGAAACACTTCAGTCGCCTCCTCCGCCATTTCAACTGCCTCCTCTTTAACTTCTTTATCATCCGTTGAGGCAGCACAAACCGGTGCTTCCTTGTTGGGACACTCCAAGACAGGAGCATCGTGGTCGGGCTGACCCGGTGGTTCGACGACCGGAACATCGGCAACCCGAGTGGCCATTTTTCCGTTGCCGTCCTTTCTCTTGAGCCGCGCGCTTTTCTTCGAAGGCTTCTTGGTTTCCCCCTGGGTTAAATGATCTTCGAAAGCTTCAATAACTTGATGGATACGCTCACGGTTAGGAGAAGAGTCCCAGCGAAACCAATAAATCGTGTAGCAGTCGAAGCAATCGCAATCGAGAATGGGTGGCTTGTAGGCGGAACCGCCACCCTTTGGGGCCATCTTCACGGCGGCCGGTGGTGGCTTCTTGGAAGCTTTTTTCTTGGAAGAAAAATCCTGGCTCATCAAAGACGCGGCGTCGGTAGTTGTGGTGGTGGTATTGAGGGACCTGGTTATCATATAGGCCAAAACTTCCCTGTCCTCAAGAGAAAGGACTGAAGCTATAGCTAAAATGGCGGCCGGAAGAAGCTTCAAAACGGAAAGATAGTCTTCACAAGAAGATGATGATGAAGAAGGAGGAGATGGGTATACTTTACCTATGTTTTTGAGCTTCATGGTGGCTAGCTAGTAGGGTTTGCAGAGACGAAGACGAAGTGGCAACGGTGTTTTTGAGAACGAAATTAAAAACAAAAAGATCAAATTTTTGGGGGATCGAAATCTATTAGTATTTGTTCACTTAGGAGACAGGGCGGGGAGGTCACGGGTCTCTGTTTTTCTCACAGGTTAAATAATTACACTTTCTGTTTCACGCCACTTTGTTTTGGCGCGTGTACTCACTTCACATAATTATCTTGAGAATAAAATTGAATTAAGTCATTAAATAAGGTAAACAAATACTATTTTAAAAGAATAAGAAAAAAATAATAAGAAAAATCAATAATAGCATCTGATATTTTTAAAAGAAAAAAATAGGACAATTTCTTTTATTTACTTTAATATAAAATACCAAAATATAATAATAATAATTGAAAGAAAAAAAATGCATAAAACATTTAAATGATAGTCATGAATTTTATATCATGCTATTAAGCTTAAAATTTAAAGTTTAAAATAAATCTAAAATAAACACCCAAACCCAGGCCAACTCAGGTAGAGTAATTTGTTCGGGCATATACAGACTTTAGTTTATTTTTTAGATTAATCATGTAGGTTCGATTTACTGATCAACTATTTTAAATTGAATTTTATGCGAATTTATTATGATGGTGATTCTTTTAATTTAGTTCGTTATGTTCGCAAACTTTTGAGAAATATACACAAATGATGATTTAATTATATAATACTACTTTGTTGAGTATTTAAACTATTAAAAATTATATAATGATTATCTAATTATTTATTATATTTTAAACTCGTCATTTTTCTTTAAAAAATGAACGGCAGTTTGAGTTGGACGTTAATATGTTGACTGAGACATGATAAAATATGATATCATAATCTCAAACATCTATAATATGTCAACATTTTAAATTCAAGTCATACAACTATTAATTTTCAACATAAAATTAAAAGTTTGAAATATAATGAATAGTCATGTGACAATCTTGTAACTTTTAATAGTCAAAGAACTCAACAAGACAACCCCTCTAATCGAGAGACTATTTTCGGAGGATTTGACAAAGCAATATGACTTTAGTTAGGGACTATTTGTGTACTTTGTCCTAAATTGAATTTTTTTTATTATTAATATGAGATAAATACACGGTAATATATGTTCAAATAAAATTCTTACTTTTCGACAACACTCACATCCATTGCATCTATGATGTTCGAACCTGAGTCTTAATGGAACAACAATAATTTATTTACCATAGATGATTCGTGCATGGTAAATATATATTTTAATATTTAAAATTAGTGTCTTTCGAATACTTTAATGTTTAACCCTTTTTTTTAAAGTCCAATTAGATATATAAATTTGAGTTGTTTTTTCTTAGACGCCTTCAATTAAAGCTTAGGTCTATGTTGAATAGTTTTATACATGAACAACATGTTTATCATATTGAATTTCTGAATGCGAAGTCAATGTTTCTGGCAATATGCATTTACGCATTTTTTAAATCTATTGTTATGTAGGTTTCCTGGATTTTTCTTTATAAGATGCACTCATTTTCCAGGCAACCAAACATCCCGCCTTTTCTCTATTTCCGCTTTTAATTTATCCTCATATTGTTTTCATTTAATCTGTTATTCTCTATTAACCATTAACCCTCCAAGAATGGCGATTGCTTGGTCCAAAATAGCTGCTTCCATGGAGGCTATATCGTTGTCTCCTCCCATGTCCCCGGCCGTCATCCTAACCCAGGACGATTTGAAAAAAATCGCCGCCTACAAAGCCGTGGAGTTCGTCGAGTCGGGTATGGTTCTGGGTCTCGGCACCAGCTCGACTGCCAAACACGCCGTGGATCGAATCGGCGAGTTGCTCCGTCAAGGCAAGCTCACCAACATCGTCGGGATCTCTACGTCGAAGAAAACGCAAGAGCAAGCTCTCTCTCTGGGTATCCCTCTCTCGGATCTCGACGCCCATCCCGCCATCGATTTAGCCATCGACGGCGCCGACGAAGTTGACCCGCATCTCAATCTGGTTAAAGGGAGAGGCGGGTCGCTTTTAAGAGAGAAAATGGTGGAAGGTGCTTGCAAGAAATTTGTTTGCATCGTCGATGAATCCAAATTGGTTAAACATTTGGGAGGTAGCGGTTTGGCTCTGCCCGTCGAAGTCGTCCCCTTCTGCTGGAAATTCACCGCCAATAAACTCCAGAACTTGTTCCGACGCTCCGGTTGCGCCGCCAAGCTGAGGAATGACCGTGAAGGGAAGCCGTTTGTGACGGATAATGGGAATTACATCGTGGATTTGTATCTGAAGAAGGAGCTGGGGGATTTGCATATTGCAAGCGATTCTATGTTGAGGATTGCTGGTGTTGTTGAACATGGTATGTTTCTTGATATGGCCACCACTGTTATTGTTGCAGGTGAGCTTGGAATCACAATCGAGAAGAAGTAGCTTTCTGGGAACACAAATTTTTCTAACCCCTTTTAGTATTTAGCGAATTAGTATTGGTTTAGGAATATTAGGGTTCTCTGAGCTTTTGAGCTATGAGCATGATGCATGCCAATTGTTATGATCATCCTAATATTAATTTAACCTTTGAAGCTCAAGTTCGATTTGAAATTTGATTCCAGTTTTACTTTCAAAACTATATCTAAATTCGAGATAATGGTCGAATTATTCGGATAAGTAGGATTGATTCTTATATGCTACTCTCGAGTTAAATTCATCTTGAAATGGTGAGTAGTCATGGTGATTTGATGATAAGCATTAGGGTATCGTTTAATGTGTGGAAGAAGAGAAGATGAGACCCAATTACATAGTTCTTGCGTGGGCGTCTAGCTCTGGAACTCTTGCTTGTCTCTCAAGAATAATAGGCTGCCTTTTTGCCTTGCCTTGGCCACTCTTGACTTATAAAGTCTACCTTTGTTTGAAGACCAAAACTTTGAATAGAAGACTGGTGATTATGTACATAAATGGGAAATAGCTGAACCATCCAATTCTAGTGATTCTGTTGGTGAATTCAGTTCGAAATTCCTTTTAAGTAACATTTGAGAGACTTTGTTGAAAACATCTAAATCACACCACACAGCGACATATGAATGATTTTATGTTAGGAGTAAACTCGAACTTTAAAATATTTTAGGAGTAAACTCAAACTTTTAAAATTTTAAAGAACGAACTTAAACTTATAAAATTATAGGAAAAAAGAAACAAATTTTCAATATATAGTAGTTTAAAACTTCAGAGGACGACTGTCCCACCTACCTCTCGATTCATTTCATCCTTAAATCGACGTATTATCTTTGAAACATAGAAATAGCTCTTAAATATTTCGAGTAAAGATTGAACACTTCTCATTATTATACGAAACATAAATTCCACCACTTATCTTCCCAAAATATTAATTTTGCTCAATAGTATTTGAGGTGAATGAAAATTTTAGTATATAAATTATTAATTTTAGCCTGTTCTAATACTTAAATTTTTATTTTAAAAAAATATATTTAAAGTGTAGCTTTTGTTTCATTTTAGCACCCGTTCAAAATTTAATGTTAAGTTTTGAAAAAATTAGAAGTTTAGGTACTAAAATTGACCAAAACTAATAGTTTAGGTATTAAATGCATTAAGTTTTTAACGATAAAATAAAACAAAAACTAAACGTTACTTATGGTTTTGAAATAATTAAAAATTTAAATATTAAAACGAATTAAAATTAATAATTTGAGTACTAAATACGTAATTTACTCTAATATCGAAGGTCTTCGGCTTTTTTTAATTTAATATAACCTCTATTTGTTTTTTTACATTTAATGCCTTAAATTGAGAAAATTAATTATTTTGATTCTTTAACCAATATAATTAAAATTAATCATTGTGATACGGATATAATAATTTATGACATTAATATAATTTGTGATACTGATATGAAAATTTATAACGTTGTTGTGACGATTTATAATGGATGACGATGTGATAAAGAGATTAAATTATTGTTTAAAAGGTTTGAATATTTATTTAATTTTTTAAAAAATATTTTTAAATACAAACTTATTTAATATAGAAGAAATAAATCTTAAAATTATTTAAAATTAATATATTATCTTACTAAATACTATAAAACAATAGTTTATTCATTATTAGAAAATAAAACTTAAAAATATTTAAATATATATATATATATATATATATATATATATATTTTGTACATAATATATATCATATAAACACAAACAAACCAATCATATTAATATAATTAAATTACAAAATTATCATATTTTTAATTTTACATATATAACGATAATCATTATAAATTATCATATCTTTTCATATCATATATATATATATATATATATATATATATATATATAATTTTATACAAATCAAATGTCTTCGATAATAAATAAATAAATTATTGCTATTTATTAAAATTTTGTGTTGACAAATATAATATCATAACACTAAATTAATAAAAACAATTAGTTTCATCGTCAAAACAAACGAGAGAAATTAAAAATTTACATATGCAACGAAGTGTATTAATTTCTTTTAATTATTTTCATCAACATTACGACAATTTATGGTGTTAATGTCACTGTTCATATTAATTGATGATATGATAAAAAATTATATTATTTTTTAATCAAAATAAAAAATATTTTAAATTTCAAAATAATAAAAATTTAAAAAATACTAAAATATTTAAAATATATCATAAATTATAAAATTATTAATTGTTTGAAATAAAAATTTGAAAATATTTAAAAAATATATATAATATAAAACACAAAAATAACATATTAATTAATTGAATTAATAAAACTAGTATATTTTTTTAATTTTATATATCAATTATCATTATAAATATTACATACTTTTATATATTAAATAAAATTTCATTACTTTTTAATTATGTCATAAATGTTTCATCTCATTTCACCATCAGAACAAACGAAGGAGATTTAAAAATTACAAATGTAACAAAAAGTAAAAGTTCTTTAATCATTTTCATTGACATTACGGAGAGAGAGAGAGAGAGAGAGAGAGTTCAGTGGGAAAATCACTGTGCTGATCTATAGACTTTATGTTCAGTCTTCTGAAACCAGAGATCCCCAAATTCCCATTTCCTCGAGCATCTTCAAAACCCAAATTTAACCCCATTTTTAATCATCCTCTGATCATCGGTAAACCCCAAAAAGAAGTTACAATTGTTTCAAATAGCTTGAAACAGTGCCGTTATGGGAGCTGAAAAGAAATGGTTTTTCACTCTCTTCTCCGCAACAGTTCTCTCCCTTCTTCTCCTCTTATTTTACTCAATATCAGCTTTCAGCTCCCCTAGACCTTTCTTTTCCCTCGTCCAACACGGACCTCATTATCCACCTGCATTTGGTTTCTACATATTTGGTGGAAAAGGTGATAAAGATCGGATCTTTAGGCTACTTCTTGCTGTCTATCATCCTAGGAATCGGTACTTGTTGCAACTTGGAGCTGATGCTTCTGATGAGGAAAGGTACAGGTTGGCCCTGGATTTGAAATATGTACCTGCTATTAGGAGCTTTGGGAATGTGGATGTCATTGGGAAGCCTGATCAGTTTTCTTATATGGGTTCTACTCATATTGCTGCCACGTTGCACTCTGCTTCTGTTTTGATGAAGGTTGATAATGGCTGGGATTGGTTTATTGCTTTGAGTGCTTTGGATTATCCCTTGGTCACTCAAGATGGTTAGCAATTTCTGTTCGTTTGATCTTTTTTTTTTGGATTTATGCTGTCCTCTTTTGTATGGAGTTGCCAGTAGAATTCAGGTTTTTGATTGGTTTATTGCCATGGTTAGCTCTTGATGTAGTTGAAATTACATGAAATTTGTATAAATTTGCTTTGGTTTAGTAAGAAATGGGACTTAAGATTTTATGATTAAGGTGTTCTTTATGATTAATGGGATTGGTTTAGGATTCTGTCTTGGATTTAGGTTGCTGTTTGCTGAGAAATCAGTGTTAGTAATAGTTGGCCTGGAAAGAGAGTTTCTTTGAGTTATTCTGCCAAAGTTTGGTGCAACATTGCAACAAATCGGCTTCGATTTCGAATGCTGTACATGATACCAGGAAAATTCTTGATCTTGATTATGTTTCTGACTAGTTTACCGCTCTGTTTACAGTATCAATATCATGATTCGAAGAATTTCTGTTGTATTACTTCTTATCAAGGTTTTTTGCTCATATATAGGATTTAGTGCTGAACAAAGCATATGAGTCGAAGCATTGTATATTTTGGGGCAGTTCTAATAATGCAGAAACAATATTGTCAAGGGGCAAGGCGTATTGTAGGCACTTAAACCCTTAAATTGCCTCAGGCATTATGCGTGAAAAAGAAAGCGCTAGCCTGAGCGAAGTAACACAGTAATACACACTTAGGGTGTCAACTAAAGCACTCAAAAATGTGTCATGGATGATGGTTGACATTTTTTTAACTTGATGAGTGTCTTTAGTTCAGTGCAAGGAAGGAAAGAAAGGGGCTTACCGTCCTTTGTTACTGTGGTGTGACTTGGTTGTCGAGTTTGGACAAAGTAATACTTTCCCGAGTTGCAACGTTGCAATCGGGTTTTAGCCTACGATAATGAGGACACCTTAAGCTTGACCTATTCCACTTTTCCCTTCATGACATATCTCGTTACTTTCACCTGTTCTGTTGCCTTGCATACCTTTAATCGTAATTGAATTAACTCTTTCTTCTTTTGCTCTGTTTAATCTCAGATTTGTCCCACGTATTCTCCTCGATTAGGCGGGACCTCAATTTCCTTGATCATACTAGTGACCTTGGGTGGAAAGAGTAGGCAAAACCCTTTTCATGAGTCGTATCGATCCTTCTGCTGCAAGTTATAATAAAAATCTAATTCATGTTGGTTTACTTTCAATGCAGAGGTCAACGGATCCAGCCTATCGTAGTTGATCCAGCGATATACCTATCTAGGAGGCCCCAGATTTTTCATGCTACCGAGAAACGACCAACGCCCGATGCCTTTAAAGTAGTCACAGGTAAAGTCTACTATCAATATCATTTCTGTCTGTTGCCTTTTTTTCTTCTTTGGAGGTGCTTCTCATTTACATTTTGGTGTTGAATTCAGGTTCTCCTTGGGTCGTCTTAAGCAGATCCTTTCTGGAATTTTGCATTCTTGGTTGGGACAATCTACCACGGACACTTCTGATGTATTTCAACAACGTCATGTTATCCGAAGAATGCTATTTTCATTCTGTCATATGCAATTCCCCGGAGTTCAAGAACACCACAGTAAACAGTGATTTAAGATATATGATCTGGGACAATCCTCCAAAGATGGAACCCACCTTCCTCAACATTTCGGATTATGATCAAATGGCTCAAAGTGGAGCAGCATTCGCGAGGCAGTTTAAAAAAGACGAACCTACGTTGGACATGGTTGACAAAAAAATTCTCAAGCGTAATGGGCGGAACCAGTTGCCCCAGGGGCATGGTGCACCGGCCGGAATAGCTGGTGGTCGGATCCTTGCTCTCAATGGGGAGATGTAAATGTCCTAAAGCCCGGACCTCAGGCGAAGAAGTTAGAAGAAACCACGACGAACCTCCTCGATGACTGGAGCTCACAGTCTAATCAATGCACGTGAGGGAAGGAGCATGAAACTGAACCGAAAGGTGAATATTTCGGAGACAAGCGCGGTTCTCATTGCTTCTGAATTTCATCGAAAGTTCGAAAGGTTACCATCAAACGAGATTCATCATCGGGGTTCCTTGATTCACACAGGCTACAATTGTGAAGCGAGTTGAGTTTGGGAGGTCAAAGGGATAGTATTTAATGGTGAAAACCATACCAGAAGGTTCTTCAAATGAGGAAAGAGGAACTCCCTTGTGAGCTGCCATTTGCAGGCTGTTGTATGTTCCATACACATTTTATTTGCGATCCATTCATTAAAAATTCCGTGCGACCTCATTGCTGCATACGATATAATTATATAATTACGGTATACGGATACGAGTAATTGATGAATACACTAACATACGATCTCATTACTGCATACGAATTTTGATGAATATACTAACATAAAAAGCAAAAGAAATTAAAAAAATTCTCATAAAACAGCACAAACTAAATGATTACAGGACACAAATCATGATCATAATTTATCATTGGCCTAAACTCCAAACTCAACTTGGTCCTGTAAGTACACCCACCAGAATCTCATATTTTGTTCCATGCCCAAAACAACACACATTTTGACACCCCCTTCTCTTCTCCGATCTCCCTCTCTCAAAACAATGGGTGCCTTGGACTCTCTTTCCGGCTATATTTCTGATCTGATAACTTTGCATGGCGAAAAGAAGAAACGTAAAGTCATGCAGGTATTATTATATCCTTCCATTATATTTTTCGATTTCAAGTTCGAGTCGGAATCAATTATGTTACTGTCTGTTTTAAGAACACATGGTGTTCATTTGCAGACAGATGAGATCAAGTTTAAGATGGACTATGATGGGTGTGACACTTCAAAGCTTTCTTCACCTATAAACATGTATGTATATTTGTACACTATAAGTTTCTCGGGAAACAAACATAGCAGTTGGAAAATATCTTCCTTTTTACCCCTAATAAATGCATTGCTGATTCTCTCAAACCAAAAGCATCCTTAACCTCAAGTCATCTAATTTAGTCATAAACCAACCACACACATCATCTTCCCATTTCTTAACATATATTTAAGGACTTTTACCTCAAATTGCTTCTTTTAAAACTAGTCATGGTAATTATTTGTTCTGTATCTTGTTTAGGTGTGAAACCTGTGGATGTGAACCGGAAGCAAAGCCGAGTGAGCGTCACCGGATACGTCGAGCCGAATAAGGTGTTAAAGAAAGTGATAAGCACCGGGAAAAGAGCTGAGTTTTGGCCTTACGTGCATACCTTACAACTTAGTGGCGTACCCTTACGTTGCTCAGGCTTACGATAAGAAGGTACCGTCCGGGTACGTGAAGAACGCCTTGCAAGCATTGCCGAGTCCGAATTCCGTGGACGAGAAGTTCGTCACTGTCTTTAGCGACGAAAATCCGAACGCATGTTCCATCATGTAGAAGCTAATTTGATGGAGAAGAAAGTCATAAAGGTTAAGGCCAAGCCAAGGGCTTATTCGAATGAGCATGGGACAAATTTTCTTTACACAAAGCATAACTAATTTGTGGAAAATTATTTAATACAAAAATCAACATTTTGATTTAAATAAATATTGTTTTATCTATTGAATTATGTTATTCAATCATGGTTATTACCCACTGTTTACTCTCATACATTTCACTATTTCTTCGTAAACTTCTTAGTCTTCTTTATTTCTGCAGGTGAAGTCAATTTTCTCCCTGTTGTGGTCATCACCTCAATCCTTTTCTTATTTTTATAAAAGAAGTAAGCTATAAGAAAAGCTGAAGAAACCATCTCTTTCATGTCAGTTTTTGCGTAGAACTCAAGTATAGAAGGACAAACCCACAGGCAAAACCAAAATCCCAAAAAACAAAGAATCTCTAGTTTTAGATTACAACGTTGGGTCTTTCTTACTTTTTGAGAACAAGTGTTGGATTCAAAAGCAGAGTTTGAAGAAGAAGATGACTAAAAATCAAGACTTTAAGCTACTCAAGATTCAGGTCCTTCTCTTTCACTCACATTCTCTCTGCCCTTTTTATATTTGTAAAGTGATGGTTTTCTTTTCGTTTTTAATCCAGACCTGTATTCTCAAAGTGAACATCAACTGCGATGGGTGTAAGCAAAAAGTGAAGAAATTGCTTCAGAGAATCGAAGGTTCTCGCTCGTTCCTTCTTTTTTGTTTTGTTTGGTTGCTCAGAAAATTCTCTGCCAGGAAAACTTCATGTTCATGTCGAGTCTGTCAGTGTAATGTTTATGTTTGTTGTTTTCTTCTATTTCCAAGGTGTTTACCAAGTAAACGTAGACGCAGAGCTTCAGAGAGTTACAGTCTCAGGAAGTGTGGATTCTTCAACATTGATCAAGAAACTGGCAAGAGCTGGTAAACATGCTGAGGTTTGGTCCCAGAAACCGAACCAAAAGCAAAACAACTGCATCAAAGACGACAAGACCAACAACAACAAAGGACAAAAACAGCTGCAGAACAAGTTTCCCACTTTTATTTCTGAGGAAGAAGATGATGGTTATGATGCAAAGAAAGGTGTTGGGAACATTGCTGCAGCTTCCAGCAATTATGGTAAAATGAACAAGAAAGGACAGAAGTTGGCAGATTTGAAGATGAACAATGCTCAACAGTTTGGTGGTTTGAACATAAATTCAACGAACGGCAACACGATGGGGCTTTCGGGTTTCCATGGAAATGGTGGAAGGTTTCAAATTCAGTCCAACAATGGACTGAATGATTTCTACAACTATCCATCATCAATGATGAACATGCATGCCATGCATCAGCATCAGCATCATCAACCACAGATGATGTATCATAGATCACCGATTTTTCCACCCAGCACGGGTTATTACTACAATTATAACCCTCTACAATTCTCATTCCCTGAAGTCCCTCATTACAACGCAGGTGATGAAAACCCAGAGAGCAGCTGTTCAATAATGTAGCACAGAGAAATTTCTTGCGTTTCGAGTGAATCGTTGATCTATGTATTCCTGAATTTGTCGATGTATCGTGTTTACGAAGATTATGTTGAAAATAGGAGTGGGGTTGGTTTTTTTGAACGTAGGTCCCTGCAACCATTTAGTGTCACCTTTGGTGTAGGCCACTCACTGTGCATGTGGCCGCGCCGGTGCGCCACTGGCAATTGGTGGAGTAGTCACGCACGGGCTTAAGGCTAACAGATTCGGACCACCCACCGTCTCACTATCGTGTGCTGCCACTCGTCGGTCATCCCTCTCCCTGCCCCTGCAACGCATTAGCTAGGCTTTTACAAACGCAGGCAATGATGTTGAAAAAATATCTGGTTGACTGATTTTGTACTCCTTTGACATTTCTGCAGTCTTGATGAATATAATAGCTTACATCAACTAATTCATTTCTAAAAGTTATTTTAGGTTAGTTTTTGTATTTTTCAATTTTGAATTACTTAATGATTGGTTTGTATTAGTAATTTAATTTTGATTAAATTATAATTTTTCTAAAAAGATATTCGTTTATAATCGAACTAATAATTAAATGATTTGGAGTGGATTTCCCCTTTATTATATAGAAGCTGAAGCTGAAGCACGGGGTAACAAAAAAAAATAAGGTTAAAAATTTGAGTTTTTTAAGGAAAACTTTGAATCTTAATATTAAGAATTTAAGTATAATTTTATTTGAATTTTATTTAGAGTGCGTTTGGTTCATGAAATGTAAGATTACCGGTGGGAATAAAAGATTATTAGGGAATAGGATTACTGGTAATGTTGTATTTTGTGTTTGATTGGTTTAGCAGTAATGTAAGATTACCGTATTTGGTTAAATGAATAAAAGATTATTGGAATATATATTTGACTAAATGTCCTTATTATATATTTGTATAATATTACAAATTAAATTCTACTATAATATTACTATAAGATATTTATATATATATATTAAAAAATTTAAATTCATAAAATTTATATATTTTTTTACAAAATTAAAAATATAAAAAGGTTTAATGAAAGGATAAAATTTTATTTTAACCCTTGAACTTCATATAAAGTTTTAATTATAGATTTTTTTTGTAAATCTAAAATAGTTTAAGGATAAATTTGTAATTTAACGTTCGTAGAATTTTTATTATTTAATAACAGAAGAATGATATTTTTGGAAGAAAAAAATTTAAGGACATTTTAGTCTAAAACGCCGGTAATCCAACAATACATAAGGGAAGGGGGTAATGACATTCCCAGTAATATACCACAAAAAATCCACTGTTATAATAAAACATTACCGGGAATGAGATTACCGGCCAACCAAACGGAGGAATATAGATTTTATTCCCATGGTAATCCCACATTCCCCGAACCAAACAACCCTTACGAGTTTAAAATTTTCCTTATTGGTGTGTTGTTTATCGATTGTGGCATCAATTTTAATCTTTGTTGATCGATTGTGGTATCAATTTTAATGGTTGTTGCTGACAATATTCTTTATTGTCCTTTTCTTGTCTTATATCATATCTCTATTTTCTTTTGATTTTTGATTTTCAATAAGTCTGTATGTATCATACGTTTTCATCTTTCTTAATGACACGTTTTCTTCTACCTTTTGATATGTTTTTTGGGTTCTTTTTTCATTTAATTTTTTCTAAGGGTTGATTTGACATTATCATGATTGATTAAGATGACGTTTATATGATATCTTGTTGATCTTATCTGCTTTAAACCCTCCGACTAGATTTGGATAACTCATTTGTTTTTGTGAATAGTTTTTCACGTCGTTCGAGTCTGATTTACGGTTTCTTGGTGGTCTTTCAATTGCTTGATCCCCTTTCGTGATTAGTTTTGTCGATGCGAACAAATCTATTTGTATATATATTTGTTTGAATTTTTTATTAGATTTTTAATCTTCTTATATGGTAACTAACTTAACTACCGTTCGGTACGCGAGAAGATTCCAAATGCAACTGTTTTTTTCTCTGTTGTCGTTAACTTCCATTCCCCGCGAATCTTTGGGCTTTTGTTAGGGTTTAGCCTCCCAAATCTAATCCAATTATTGTTGATTAATCTCATCCTTTTATCCTCAAGATGCCGTTAATAAGATTTCCTCCGTCCTTTTCCTTTTTTCGTAGAAAAATTTCTTTTCTAATCGTCTCTATCCGATCTGGCTTTCACAATGGCCGGGGAATTCCCCTCCTCCTCCTCCTCCTCCTCCGTACACGGAGGCCACGCTTCTCCCACATTCTTGCTCCGCCTTGTCCTCGATATCGTCTCCGCTGGAACTGCTCACGCCAATGCCGTCTTTAAAAAGGATTGCACGAATCTGGTAGGGATGATAGCTGTCATCACGCATTTGCTCGAGGAAACCAAAGGTTTTCTGTCTTCTGATCACGATCATCCCTCCTCTTCTGTTTCATGGTTGGTTGATCTGGAGGAGGCTCTCCAGTCTGCTCAACGTCTCTTGTCCGTCGCCTCCGCCCACCATTCCGATAATTACTCGGTAAAGTATAATTAAAACTGATTAATCATCACAACCGGATTAATAATCAAATTATTGAGTTAATATCTCATAGTGATATGTCTATTTCTTGAATTCATCAATATGAAAACTGTATTCTGCATATATGCCAATTTTATCTTAATATGTTTATGTTATAGCTAAATCCATATGAAGTTTATTGTATCTTGATTTAAGGACGAAGCTGCCAAAAGAATTGCATCTCAATTTCAATGTGTTACATGCAAGCTGGAGACAGCTTTAGGGAAAATCCCATATGATCAGTTTCATATCTCGGAGGATGTTCAAGAACAGGTTTAACTCCTGAATTTATATGTTTTCTTCACTTTTCCACCCTGTATGCCTGCCCTCTTTAACATCAACTTCCTTTTTGTTTCTAGGTAGCATTGGTAAGAGGTCAATTGAGACGAGCTGCAGAAAGATATACGTCTTTGAATTTGCCAAATTTTTCTGATGTCGAGTCCCGGTTACTGGAAAAAGAATGTGCTGCTACCATCCATGAAACTTCTGCAAAGGTGGATGGCATTTCAGAGAACTGTGGTACTCTGCAACATGCTGCGGATAAGGTGACTAAGATATTGGAAAGAATGACGAGATCTTCAAGCAATTCGACCTCTTCAACGTCTTCTGATGTCTGCCTATCAAATGAACTCGATTCCAAGAGGCAAGAGAATGTGGTTTCCAAGGGTTTCGAAGAAACCAAGAAGCCTGATGCACTAGTAATTCCTGATGATTTTATATGCCCTATATCACTGGAACTAATGAGGGATCCGGTGGTCGTTGCTACAGGGCAGGTACAGTGTTCCACTGTAACTACTGCTCATAGTTTCTCTGTTTCTTTCTACGCAGTCAATCTCTGATTCCTAGCAATCACTTTTACAGACATATGAGAGATCATACATACAGAGATGGATAGATTGTGGCAATGCAACATGTCCAATAACTCGGCTGATGTTGGAAGATACAACTCTAACCCCTAATTATGTTCTGAGAAGTTTGATAAATCAATGGTGTGCTGAACATAACATTGAGCAGCCGAGTAGAATAGTGAATGGTAGGCTCAAAAAGAGTGATGGATCATTCCATGATGTTAGCTGTGACATGGAGGCCATCAAGGCTCTGGTCTGTAAGCTTTCGAGCCCAAGCATCGTAGAACGCAAGGCTGCAGTTGCTGAAATCCGATCACTATCTAAAAGCAGCATGGATAATAGGATACTAATTGCAGATGCAGGAGCAATACCTGTTCTGGTTAACCTTTTAAAAGCAGCTGATGTTTCATTACAAGAACACGCAGTAACTTCTATTCTTAACCTTTCCATATTTGACAACAACAAGTCTCTGATAATGCTTGCCGGTGCCCTTCCTTCGATCATCCACGTCCTCGAAGCCGGAAGTGTCGAAGCAAGAGAGAACGCAGCAGCTACCCTTTTTAGTCTGTCACTTGTAGATGAGAACAAGCTAATCATCGGTTCATCGGGGGCGATACAGGCTTTGGTAGATTTGTTACAACATGGGAGAACTAGAGGGAAGAAAGATGCTGCAATCGCTCTGTTCAGTCTATGTCTTTATCAGGTGAACAAAGGTAGGGCTGTCAAAGCTGGAATCATAGCAGTGCTGCTGGAGATGTTGTCGGATACAAGAAACGGCGTGGTTGATGAAGCTCTAACAATACTCTCGGTTCTTGCTAGCAACCACGAGGCTAAGTCAGCCATGGTAAAGGCTAAGATCATACCAGTCTTGGTCGATTTTCTAAGAACAGGCTCGCCCAAAACCAAAGAGAATGCAGCTGCCACTTTACTTCCTCTGTGTATGAAAGATGCCAAGAATCTGGCCTGTATAATTCGGCTCGGTGCTGATATACCATTGACAGAGCTTACAAAGAGTGGCACCGATAGGGCCAAGAGGAAGGCTACATCATTGTTGGAGTACATTCGCATATGACAGCAGCTTTGACTGCTTTGTTGGTATATACATACCTATATTATATACATATATGTATGTATATGTATATATATGTATATGTATATGTATATATAACTATTTGAGAATTGAGGAACGATCATAAACTGCACACATCCTGTTTGTTCTGTCTTAAAAATTCATTTGTTCTCTTAATTGATGGAGAGCTATCCATTTGATTGCTCGCCGGTGCAGAGAAACACTAACTGTTGGTAGCCTGACTCACGTGGAGTATAATTTTAATTTAAGATAAAATAGTAAAATAGTAAAAACAATAATTTAAAGTTTATAGTAATTGCTTAGGATAATGTTTTCTATTTGCATTATTAAACAACATGTTGAGTTTTCGTATTAATTAATATTTCAATGGATAACGAAAAATATGAATTCAGGAAGCTGTTGAGTTAATGCAAATCCACGTGTTTTCCAGCTTTGGATAAGCCCATTAATCTTCTTTAATTGAGATCAACAGACAATCCATGTCATAGATTCACTGCAAAAAGACATGGATATTATTTTAAATATATTTGTTATTTATTTTAATTAAGGATAATAGAAGAATCAAACATTTTCTAGGGATTTTAAAATTTTTAATTATATTGAATGTTTTAAAGTTACTAAACAAAACCCAGTTGACTAAATCATGTCGAAATAATTTTAAACCAAAAAATATTTAATTTTGATTAAGTGAATTATATAATAATTATATTCGTTTTTAGTAGTTTTTAAAATTATCTAATAGTTCCGATAATGTGTCTTACTATGCCAAAAATAGTATACTATGCTGTATCGTGAAAAGGGTTGAAAGTTGAAACATCTTAATTATTATTTCGAATAATATAACATGTGTATTCAATATGATATAATTTTTTAAGCTTTAAAAATATTGTATTATTTTTTTTTTCTAAATAAGGCTTTTGTTATTTTTTAAGCATTTCACTGATAATGTTTATTAATAATTTTAATATTTATTCATATACATATATTTTAATTCTATTTGAGTATTGAAGACGACTTTGAACCACACTTACTTCTTTTATGAGTCAAAATCTTGTGAAAATATGAAACATTTAAGTTGAATATGTATAAGTTTTTTTATTATTTTTTCGTTTATGGGATCACTGGTAGATCTAATTTATCATTCTCGTTCATATATTATTTTTGTATCAATTTAATTATCGAAGTTGTTTAATTGCATCAATGTTTAAAATATTCTCCATTATTTATGGTTTTAAGATATAGTTTAGAGTTTATAGTTTTAGGGTTTAAATTTTAAGATTTAGGGTTTAGGGTTTTAAGTTAGATATAAGGTATATAATTATGCAATTAAATAACGTTGAAGACTAAATTAATGTGAAAATATTATGGGAGCAAACATGACCCTTAAACTTATTTTTTTTATTCAAAAATATAAATGATGTTAAACTGATTAGTCTAATTTTTTTTATTAATTTGAGACGATTATGAGATAATATATATTTAAAACATTGCTAAATATTTGACAATAAACATTAAAATATCTTTATAGACGTCATACTTAACACGATACCGTAATCATGATACCGCATAATTCTTAGTTATAATTCAATTCTAATCTATAAGAATAAAATATATTTGATGACTAATCGTTATTTCTTAATAACAACATCCACGACGAAAAGATTCATCACAATTGCCATTATAAATAATATAATAAATTTTACAATTCAAACCTAACACGAATAAACTATGAACAAATGACAATAATAAAAATAACACGTTCACATGAAATGAAACAAATAAGACACGCATAGGTACTCCGCAAAGACAACAGATTCAGTTTCCTTTGGATTGACGTTTGAAATTACAAGCAAAAAAGAAAGAGCCACCTGCGCCCATTGTTTTAAAAATCGGACCGGATAAGCCGATTCAACCGATTCAACTGGTTTAATCATGAATTGTTGTCTAGTCTGATTCATTATATACCGGTTGAATCGGTACAAGTGAATCGTTCGAACCGGACCGGACCGTGAATCGGTTCAATCTATTTTTTTTAAATTTAATTTTTTAAATAATTATGATGTCGTTCGATCTTACGATCAGTCTGACCGATTTAACCAATTGAACTAATAAATTAGTAGAACGATAGATTTGCTGACCGGTCTAATTCTGAAAACCATTCCTTCACCAGAAGAATCCTGGCGACTAGCGGTCACTTTCATTTAGTTTTCTTCCCAAAACTTCAGAGCAGATCCGCCCCATCATGTTGTAGAACGACATGAGATCAGACAACTGTTCGAAGGACATTTTCCCCATCACTTTTCTTCCCAATTCTCCCCTTTCTCGGTGCAACCCCATCTTCTCTACGTAATGGCTCCCGTTCCTCACTGTTGCTCCCATCTGCTTCAGCCTGTTCTCTTCTTGTAGGCTGAGAGCTGTGATTGATCTCGTCTTGTTCTCCACTTCTTTGTTGAGCTTCAATTGCTTCGGCAATGGTGTTGGGCTATGGGGTTTCTTCTGGTAAGCAGTTACAGCCCTCACGAATTCCTGCACAGATTTTTACTATAATCAGAAACCTGATGACGATGAAGAAGAAGAACAGCAGGCAAACCTGATAAATGGTTGAGCATCCTGGATAATCGAATTCTTGGGAATAAGGTGTTCTCATTCTCTCTGGATGGAATTGAAGTCCGAGTATAAATCTACCCTCGTCTGGATTATAAGCATTAGGATCATAGAACCCTTCGATCAAGCCATCCGGTGCGAAAGCCATCGGCACAAATCGTTGAGCCAATCTCTTTACACCTTGATGATGATAACTATTGACTAATATTTCCATTTTCTCTTCTTCTAAAGAATCCTTGAACCAGCTTTGGAATGGGGTGTTCTCCACCACTTTCACCGGGTGTCTATGGCCGTCGTAATTGTTATAATCCATGTGCACTACTCTTTGACGATTTTCCGGCAATTTCGCCGTCAATTCTGTTCCGATATCTTTATAAAGTGTACCGCCGGAAACGACGTTTAGAATCTGTGAACCCCTGCAGATTCCTAGATACGGAATGTTCCTTTCGAGGCAAAGGTTGGCGAGTTTTAACTCGATTGAATCTTTCTCTTTATCAATGGCGGTATCACTTGCATGCAGTCCCCTGATTTCTTCTTCTACTTCGAGTGAAAGACTTGACGTATCGTCTACGTATAGAGATGTATCGATATCTTCTCCTTCACAGAGAAGAACACCATGGATCGGCTCGTAACTGTCTAATAAATTATGAATCCCACGAACTCGTGGCACGATCACCGGAACAGCACCGTACGTTACTATAAGATCAAGATGATATTCACCTGAAATTTTCAACACCCAAACCTCCATTAGAAGGAAGAAGAAAACAAAATATAAGTACAAGAAAGAAAAGCCAGTTGGAGATACGAAAACCTACCAACAAAATCTACAAATTTGTTCTTGCGAACGCTACGTCTGGAGACGATAAGAACACGGGGGAGGGTGACGGGAAGATCATCGTTGAGAGCCATATGAATATATAAAGACTGAATGTATGAGTTTGATCGGAGTTTTAGTGATGTCTTTATAGGGGAAGGTCGAAGATTTGGTTGAATCCAACGGGAAAATTGGAGGGGTTTATATAAGAGGTGAGCAGAGTCCTACTGCCGCGTGCTACCCAAAAATAATATGCTTATAATATTCTATTAAGAATACACAGACCAGATATCACCTTAAGTATGATTATTTAATTTTAAAATCATTAATTTGATCTGATTTATATTAATTAAAGAAATTATAAAACTTAGTTTAGTTGAAAGTAAAAAAATATATTATTTTATGTTGTTTATGAATATAAAATCTAGTTTGAGTAGGTCTGCATGAAGTATATTTTCTTTGTAATTACGAGATAATATCTAATTGAAAAATTATTTTGTTTTAAATATTATTTACATAAATTTTAAGGTTTACTAAACATGAAATTATATTCATTTTAAGGGTAAATTACACAGTTCATCATTGAACTTTACTCTCTCTCCTATTTTACTCACTGAACTTTTAATTTTTTTAATTTACTCATTGAACTTTATGGATTGGAGTTTTTTTTAACACTTCATTATTAAACAACTAACGGTGTTATGACATGACAAACAATGTTAAAACGACGTAGTTTTGATTGAGAGCAAATGGGTGAAAAAAAAATCGAACTCAAACCTATCATCATCAGCGTCCCCAACTCTCTTGGCCTCAATCTCACTAATCTCTCTAGCCATATTCATTCTTTACTGCTAGTATTGATTGTTCTTTGGTTCCATACCTTCTTTTTAAGTTTTGTAGATGTGTGGTAGCTCAGATTCTGCTACAAGTGAGTATTCAGACTCACCAGCAAAGAGAAGGAAGAGAGAAGGTAATGTGAGAAGGCACCAATGGGGACACTGCAAGTATAAATAACTCAAATAAAATGGGCACTACAAAGTACAATCTCTAAAAGTGGTCGTATTCGTCTAAATTTAATTTTTATTAGACTCAAAACTACGTCGTTTTAATATTGATTGTCATGTTATAACACCGTTAATTATTTAACGGCTAATATACCAAAAAATTCAATATATAAAGTTCAGTGAGTAAATTGAAAAAATTAAAAATTCAGTGAGTAAAATAGGAGATAGTAAATTTTAGTAAGGAACGATGTAATTTATCCTAAAAATAATGATGTGAAATAAAAAATAATTGGATAAACTACATCATATACTAACGAACTTTAGGCGTTATATTGTTTATATCACTAAAATTTCAATTTTGACAATTATAACATTGTACTTTGATTTTCGTTTCAATTATATCACTGAACCGTTAAATCGTTAATGACATGATAATGTGGTTGACGAATACCGACGTGGCAAACGATTGCCAATGTAGACATGCCACTAACACAACATCATTTCGATTTGGTTGTTAATGATTTAACGACCGAGTGGGATACTTGAAACAAAAATCAAAGTTCAATATTATAATTGACAAAATTAAAAGTTCAGTGGTATAAATGATACAACGTCAGGAGTTCAATGGCATCTGATGTAGTTTACCCAAAAATATTTTGACTCTATCTTCAACTATCAATGTCATCCGATAGTTAATAGTTAATGATTTAGTGTCTTAATTGAAACTTAAACTAAAGTTTAATGTTAAAATTGAAATATTTTAACGTTTTAGTATTCAAACCAATATACAATCTAAAGTTTAGTAACTAAGGGTATAATTTATTCCATAAGTAAGTAGGGGTTAAAACATATGATTTTTTTCCATTTTAATAGTATCTCCCTTTCTTTGGTCACTTCACTCCTCATAAGAAATTTTAACATAACATTTTTATTCGAATATATTGTATTAAACTTAAAGACAACGTTTATATTTGATTACATCAATCAATACGAAATTGTTTTTAAATAAAATTCTTCACGATACATTATTTATTTAATTTGATTTTTTGTTTCTTATTTTTGAGTAATAATTATCAAACATAATTTATAAAACAACTTGGCTGTTGCAAAGAAAATGGTTGGTTGTGGACCTGTGGTACAATACAATAGCTTAAAGTTTTGTTCTACCAATGCTATTATATAAATCAGATTTTGAATATATTCGCCCAGACAAGGGCTATTAATACTGGACATGTAACCCACTCAGACCGATGCGGATAACCCGATCCGATATAGAGTGTCACATTAGGGCCACCGGAGTGACCCACTGTAAAAATAGCGGAAAATTTAAAACTTTTTATCAAAACATGTAAACTCATAAAATGATTTATCCGTATACAGAAATAAAATAGATTTTCAGGATCGTATATAAAACAAAATACAATTACATGCCCCTAATCACATGTACCATCCTCTGTAAGCAACGCCGGAAGAACTCCCTCATTGATGTCAATGGCTGCACTAGTACAATTCTTTTAACTTGCAATGGTGCGTAATAGAGTGAGCTTCAGAAAGATCAGTAATACAAAACTACCAGGTGATGCTATAGGTCATACAGATAAATGAAAAACCATATAATTTCCTTTTTAAATCAGGCATATACTGGTTTCCGGAATAATCTGTAGTTCCACTGGTAGTTCATCGAGTAAAAGCCATGAAGATCTTAGGTCATAGGAAGCATTCATAGTATGAAATTTTCAGGAGATCGCATAGGATGTCTAGTGTGTTCCAACAGTACAATAAAATCATAATAGGTACACTAATCAAATGATAGTTCAGTAAACCTCATAAATCATAATGAAGTTTAACTTTTAAAACTCGTAGTTTAAACCCTTCTCTAGTACACCATCCGCAGTTCCTAGAACTGCGTTCGTAGGGCTTACCTTAAGCACACATCATAAAGGAAGCCAACCTAATGATAGACTTTGGGGCCTGTATCCTTAAGTCCGTAAGTCCATAGGGCTTTCCCTAAGAACACAACAAAAGGGAGCCAACCTAATGGAGCATCTTGGGGCCCGTGAGCTTACCCAAGAGTCACATTAGGTCCGTAATCATCGTTATCATATATCAGTGAAAACCAATAATCATATATCAGTCATAGTCCATAAACCATCACCAGTAAGTCGGTCCATTATAAAACAATAACCATAGATTTTAGTGTACCACATGTTAAAACAATAAAACAAATTATTAATATATCGGAAACACACTAGAGAATCCATGTATTTTTCAGAGGCATTTTGTAGTTATCAATATGGATAACATGAAACTTGTGCAATCTGATCGGATTCCAGGAATGATGTCTTATTGAAGAGAATCGATTAATAATCGATCTAATAAGACAATTAAGGTTGATACTTTCGAATTCCACTATGATTCATGTGTAACAGGAAAGTGTTCAAGAACCTTTATACAAAATAATTCTAGATCCAGATTTACTGAAAGTGATTTCATTACCCTAAACAATCAGGAGTATTTCAGGGATATACTTTGAATTCATAGGATTTCAGCCCAATTGAACCAAATGGGTATTCAGAATCTTTTCATTCTGCATTACTTGTGTGTTCAGACATGACCAAAGTGATTTGAGATTAAAATGTAGAAACGAAGATTCAAGACATTTATAACTTATGTCGATCGATCGGATTATCAAACAACTCGAGTTACACAACTCCCAGACTAATACATATCGATGTGTCCATTCAATGCCCTTCCAGGGTATTCACTATTTAATATTAACAATTATTGTCCATTGATCACCTTCAGAATCATCACTGAATACATCTTAAGGAAGCAATAGAGGATCCAAATAATCTTTATTTCTATTCACATGTCAACAATATCACGAATTGTCAACGTATTTAATTCTTAGTTCATAACCCATAGGAATCATACATCACTTACTAAATTCTCAGTCATTAAAGTTACTTGGTTCATTCAGTAGTTAAATCTATCTCATTTACTTCAGAGTCTTTCCGAGTAATTCAGACGCTTTTGCGTTTTGGATACATGTTGTACTTCATTTTAGTTCACTTTAGTCATATACTAAAATCATTCTTTTGTATTCATGGTTGATTTATATCACGAATATCCACTTCTTAATATCGAATGCGCTCTAGCGTTGAGCTAAGCTGAGTACTTCCATAATTATCATCAATCCAAACTTGAGGAGACGAACAAATATTCAAGTGGTATTTATGCCATTATGTTACTAATATAGCATCAGCGTTGTTCGACCGGCTTAAATTGTGTTCCATAACTTTTAAGGGCAATGCAACATCCATGTTTATTTGGATTCCTTAATGAATCCAAGACATTTTCTTATCCTTGGTCATAAGGGTATTTTAGTCATTTTGGTGCTCATTGTTGTTCCTGTCATTTTATAGTTTGAGGGTATCCAATCTTTTATGGAATTGATGAAATTTGTGGGTCATTTCCATTCCAAGGGTATTTTGGTCATTTTACAAATACAAGATGTTTCAATCATTTCCTTCCGTCTGATCTTATTATTTAATTCTGACTTATCATCTATTTCATTCCCTTCGAACAATTCTGACATAAGAGCACCCTCAATAAATTTATTCTTCAGGTACTTACTCAACTCGGAGATTTCCAGGTTAAATGTCTTCTCAGATGTTACTAACGAATTATCAGAAATTTTCCATACAAAAAAATAGGATCTCAACAATTAAATCAGTAATTTATCAATTAAGTACAAATTCTCAGGTTACTCTCTAACTCAGAGTCAACTCGGACTATTCTTACCTTTCAAGGGCATTTTCGTAACCAGATAATTCAGGTGTTAAACTCTTAACAAGGATAATATAATTTGAAGATCCTATGGTTAATTGCTTTCTTGGATAATATATGAACTTAAAATGATTCCTTATTAAACTTCTAGTATCTTGTACAAGCCATCTTGGTTTAGAAATCGGTTGTCCAGGTTTTCCAAGCAAAACTAGCATTTTTAATGCATATAAGTAGTTTCATCATATCAATATGTCTGTAAAAACCTCTTATCCAATTTTAATGGTCAAATCTTGCCTTTTTACAACATAAGGATATTTTCGTAATTTTACCTAATCGAAGTATTCTCATAATTT